GGAGAATTATGATTTTGAAATTAGTCTTCTTAAATGTGTGGTTTATTTTCAGCTTTAGCTTTGGTGTCAGTCCTCCTCTAGTTAAGACTCCCACACTCCCGTTTTCTCTTTCCAAATCACTTGTTTTTCCAATACATTACAAGAAATCTTATAGCACAGATGTTCTGCTGATGAGAAGCCAACGGTACAAAGTGTCTCTAGTTCCTTCCTCACATGGATTTCCTATGTGTTGTTGAAGAAGGAATCTACCACCAAAGCCACCTCCAAAGCCAACGGACTGGGCATTTTCTCAGTTAATATGGATGTGGGAATATTCTTACAGAGGAGAATGCATAATCTTGTAACTGTAAAAAATGCTAATTATTGGCTTGGTACCATTTGGGAGGTAGGAATCACACCTGGGTATTTTAAAAGTTATAGAGTCCTTGGAAAAATTAGCTGTTGCTGGGGTTCAAGCTATAACTGATGGTCACCAGTGCACTGAAAACAGTAGAACTGGCTCTGTCTTCTGGTGGAGAGAGGCCAGGTAACATTGGACTAGCTCTAAGTAAGTGTTGACAAAAAAAGCAGTCCTAAACTTTCATTCTTACCCAATAGGAAGCACAGAGACATGCTGCACAGGGACATTTAACATCCAAGGTAAGAGATACACCATGGTACCAACACCTCACAGGTGGAAGTGAGTCAAGAAGCTCTGGGTTGGATAGAAGGCTGTGTCCCAAGGAGGGACGCTGGTGGCAGGGGCAGAACAGAGCTCAGTGACAAAGTGGATTAACTATGGATCACATTCGTTGTCCATCCTGGTGTGACTTGACAGGATTAAACTCCCGAATAAAATGTATTTTTCATCTGGAAAGCTCTAACAAGAGTGCCCTTAGAACTCAGGCATAATCTCAAAGTGGGAATAACCAGAGCATGTCAGCTTAGGAGCTCATGGCACGTTCTGCAGAGCTTATGGCCCAAGAGCCAAAAGACTCCATTCCTCTCCCCGATGCCTAGTATGTAGGTTAGCAGAATGAATGCAAACACAAACTAGCTCACTGAAATGAGGCAAATTAGTTTTGGAGATCAATGACTAAGATACCAGGAGTATTTCACTTACATGTTTAGGCAGAAGCCCAGCTACTGTGCTTTTACCTAACACGCCTCAGCTAGCTTCAAACACCGTAACACAAAACCTGCACGTTTTAAATCGGATTTGAAAGCCACACCACAAACACACAAGCTTTCAACTCTTGTAACATTCATTTATGGTATGGTGTCAGGTAGGGAGGACAGAAAAGATGGCAGATGATCAGTTTAGACCCAGAAGATTTCCCTTGGGAAGACAGCAAGGCTTAGGGGACAACAGAGAAAGCACAAACCTTTAGTAGCAAACACAGGAAAAGCCTCTTTGCCCAAGTAATAGGACAAGGGGGAATGGCTTTATGCTGATAAAGGGTAGATTTAGATGAGACATTAAGCAGAAGTTCTTCCCTGTGAGGGTGCTGAGGCGCTGGCACAGGGTGCCCAGAGAAGCTGTGGCTGCCCCATCCCTGGCAGTGTTCAAGGCCAGGTTGGACACAGGGACTTGGAGCAACCTGCTCTAGTGGAAGGTGTCCCTGCCCATGGCAGGGGGTTGGAGCTGGATGAGCTTTAAGGGTTGCTTCCAACCCAAACCAGTCTGTGATTCTATTCTGCTTCACTGGGGCAGAATGTTTCAAGCCCTCATCACAGCAACGCTCCATTTAAATAAGTGCTATCACCAGATTCAATAATGGTTCAGTGCTGCCTCGTGCCATCTCTCCACCTCCTCCAGTTTCAAGGCAATTGCTACAGAAGTCATGCATGCAAAGCAGGGACAGAGAAAACACTGTCTGTTGGGCTGTCGTTTCACATATAAATCTCAACAGCATTGCAAAATTCCAACTGACAGTCTTTGTTTCAGCAGAGCAGAACTGGTACTATGAAATGCACTCCAGATGCTCACTGGCATTTCTCAGTATGAATCTATTCCTAATTCAAGGCTTGCTAAGAAAATAAATGCCTAAACAGAAGATTTCACTAGCGGGGAAGGGGGGTATGTGTGTGTGTGTGTGAAAAAAACAACCCACATTAGATTTTGCCAACAGACAGACTAAGCTTTCAGGGTCTTCAAAGTGCTTGCAAAGGAATACACTGCTCACAGGTCTATGAACAAAATGTCCTGGAAGCTTAGGAGCTGGCTCTGCGGGGTCTATGGAAGGCTGGGCTGGAAGCACAGCTTTGTTAGCGTAACCTCCCTCTGGGATTTCCTGTTTCTTATTTGCAGGAACACCAGCTGTGGAAGCAAGAGCAGCTTGACCAACAGAGACCTCTGGGTCTGCTCAGTGCCAGCACTGTTGAGAGGCAATGCAGAGAAGCCCTTCACCAGAGAACTGCAGCACCAAAAGGCTAACAGGCATTGTGACAAACAGAAATAAACCCCTTCTGTGCCTGGGGTGGCACCAGCAGCCATGGCTGTCCTGGACCCTTGGGAACACAGAAATGCGGGTGGGGAGCCCTGAGAGGCTCCCCTTTCCTTCAGTCCCTTTGCTCGCCTGCATCTCCGTTCTACAGCATCTTGCATCATCCACCAGGATGATGCTACTATAGAAAATGCACCTTTCAAACAGGCCTCAATTCTGCACAGAGCAGTATCATGTCAAAACAGGGGGGCTTAGCTGTTTTCATGATTAGTTCTCTGCTTATATTTACTTGAGACTGAATAAGACCAAACCCTGCCACACCAGCAGGCACCAGCCTTCCCCCAGCACCTGGTTCTGTGTTCCAGGGGACCCTCCTCACCCTTCTGCTTTCAGCTCCAGTGGAGCCAGGCAACACCGCATCCATCTCCTCCACTTGGCACTCCCAGCACTTCCCCCTGAAGGAAAGGCCTGTTCTGTAACTCAAATCACTGCGTGGCCAGAAGAACACTTACCTACAGGGTTAATAAACACTACTGAGCGGCAATTGTTGAGCAAACAAACTTCCTGGAGAAGCGAGAGATTTTACACTCTATTGCCAAGTCTAAATATATTGAGCTTTTTAAAGATCTGACTGCGCAACAGTTTAATCACATGCAAGTACAACAGTTAAATATTATAATGTATGAGGAACATCACAAACTTGGAGAGGATCTGGGACATCAGGAGGAGGAGGTGGGGGGCTTGAAGCAGCGCTCAGGCTCTACTGAGACAGAGCCAAGCTCTGCTGGGCTGGCTGCGTGCGGAGCAGGAAGTGATGGGCTTTGCCAAGAGCACATGACAGACAGCAGGGAAGCATCCAGCACTCTCAGATGGTCTGGCATGGACATTTTCTAGGTAGTGCAAGATGATCCATGCTATAACCTGCTTTCTTCCCCATCCAATGTCTCCATGCCTCCCTTCAAGCCCCGGTCCCAGCCAGCCCTCACTTTTACAGACAGAGCAGTTAAACTGATGATCTCCCTGCCCCCATGACTCCCGTGTCATCTGGAGCATTTTCCACTTTATTACGATCCAGAATATGTCCAGACTGCCATTAAAGGGGAAACACAGGGGTTCTCTGACTGACTAGCCCATGAGAAATCCGGTGATGACCAAGTTATAAGGCACTGGTACAAAATGCCAGGCACTTTAATGATGAATGTAGGTTTAATACTTAATTCTGCCTTTAGCTTTTGAAGTTAAACCTGGTCTGTCACACCCATTTGCACACATGCCTTTGGAGATCTCTAGAGGGTAAAATAAAGGGCTGATGAATCTGGCAAGCCTTAGATCCAGCATCCACATTTCACTGTAGCAGGACAGGACATAAAGTGACGAGCATTTCTAAACAGGATGTTCGGGACAACAGTTGGTTTATAATCTCCTGGGAAAGCTTTTCTTTCTGTCACCATATGAGAAACTAACACAATTTGACTGCAAGGATTGCACTGTGCTCCATACATTCCTCAGAGATTACTTTTCCCCCAAGTCTCCCTTCAAGCAGGAAGCTTCTGGTTTTGCTAATACAGAAGCTGATGGAAGTTGACTAATGCTGTTAGCCATCCTGTGATCGGAATTGATTTGGCAGAAATTGAAATAATCTGCTAGAAGAAAACTAAAGTACTCCTATAAAAACATACTCCAAGATTGAATTACTTTTGGTTTGAATTACTTTGGAAGTGGAAAAACACTGCTTTGCATGCATCTGTGCGGTGACAAATGCACAAAGTACCTTGAGGCATTTAGGAACAAACCCTCATCAGTAGCTGCCTTTTTGCAGGAACGTGGGGCAGCAGAGTTCAGTTCCCCATGGTGCAATATCCCTAAAAACCATCCCAACAAGCTACCTGCCATGTTTGCTTACGGCATCACAGGGAAAAGACAGAAGCATGCATACTGAGACTGGATTTCTTTTTGTATTGGGGATGGTGAAGAAATTCTTGCACACAAATACTGACAATAAATACAAACTAATGATCTGCTCCCTCACCCAAATCCAGCTGCATCCGTCTTGTTTACCCACAAGCTTCTTAAAACATTGTGCAAGCACTTAATGAATGAAATCAATTCCAGATCTTTTACCCAGAGCCAGGTTATCTGTCAGGAAGACAGAATGGTGGCTCCACGATCCAGCCACAAGCAACGTGACAGCTCTTAATACAAGTTTCATACAAAAGACACCTAAAAATAGTTTGAAAGGAACTGTCCCCAGTGGCCCACCCCAAGCTCTCACAAACAAGCAGCAGCAATGGATACATCTAGCAGGCAATCAGCCCAAGTATCCAGCTTCCCTTCAGGCTGCTAGCAGTTCCCAGACCTTCTGGATGAACGCATTTCAGTTACTTCCACAGCTCTGTATACCCACACCAAAACCAAAATGACATTCATAAATGTGACTAGTTAGCTGCTGATACTGTTCGACAGTTACTGATCATGGGCTTGTCTGGAAGCAAAGACAGACACAAGAACAAAGTGACAAAGCCTCTAAGCACTGCTCGATGTTTGCTGGAAGAGGAACTGCCTCACAAACCTTACCTGTGCCAAGGGTGCTCCACTTCCTTTTTTTAGCTCTGAGAAGTTCTCGCTCAGTTTTCCTCCCTTGTTACTTGAGTTGCACTTATAGCACATCCACCTCATCTGGCCTTTAGTTACTGTCCCACATTCTTTACTCAGCAGACACAGCGAATGGTACAAGTGGCCACAGCTGTAAAAGAGAAGAGTTCTGCTCGGTCCTTGGAAGCAGGGTGACACAGCCTGACAGTTCTACACTTTGGAAGGGAAATCAGTGCTCAATGGAAAACAAGGCTGCTTATCTGTAAATACAGCTCAGCAGCGTATACGCTCCCTTTGTACCTCCACACCCTCCTGTAGTATTTCTAGATTGCAAAGGTAACAGTAGATGTCTGTTTGCTGGTACAGCTACAGATCATAATACCAAGGTAATAAACCTCTTATTTTACAGCCACCTGGCCACAGATGGGAATATCAGAGATGCCAGCTGAGAACAAAGTCAGGCCTGCAGTAGATCTGACATGTACAACTACAGGCAAGTGAACCCCAGGTGCTGCAATTGCACAAACTGCATTGCTGGGAGAGATGACAGATAAACTGACAGCTTACTGAACAGCTCTCACAGAATTGTAAGGCAATTCTTTGCAACAGAGACAGAGCTGGCTGCATGCAAAGAAGGCTGGCTCTGTGGAGTTTGATTAGCCAGCCCATTTACAGTGCAAGGGAGCAAGAAGGGATACATGCTCACAGGAATACACAGGATTACTTGTGCAAGTCAAAAGACCAGTAGGTGGTTTTTTTTGTCTTGTACAACTACTAACATTATCACAGCTGTGACCCCATACCCCTTAACTTTACCTGAAAACAATGATTTCATCAGCGGTTTCTTGCCTTCTTTTGTACTGCTGTAGACAAATGCAGCAGTAATCCTGCTTTGGGGTAAGCCCTCTAGTGACAGAAGCTCTTAGGTTACACAGTGACCAGTGGAGATCATGGTTTAGAAGATTCGTAGTTGTCTCTAAAAGGGTCTGTGTGGAAGACAACATACAGAATAACTAGGTCATTTTGTCATCTCCAGACTGCAGAAACTTCATACTGATCAATTCTTTCTAACAAGCAGCCTAGCAGATCCAACAAAATTGCTTCTCTTCATGTTTTCTAGCCACTGGCAATTTTGAGTCCTTTCACCACATGTTCATGGAGGCAATACCTTTTCACTCCTGAATGGGTCTTTTATTGATTTTTGTCAAACAGCATCAAGAGATACTAGGTAGGCTCATTTTGCCATCTTCCATACCAGACCCTCCCCCCTCTACCTGGTAACTGCTTACATCCCCCATTTTAGGAGAAACATGCTGATAAAAATCAAAGCCCAAATGCACTATCACAATTAAAATATGAAAAACACACAGAACTTCTCATCTGCTAGTTCTTCCCAACTGAGATTTGCACTCCTGAAGAGTCAAAAGCAAAATACCCTTAGTTTTTAGAGGTCAGTGCCTTTTTTCAGCAACAACAGGTATCAGGCATTGGTGCTCTGCTCTGTGATCTATCACTGCTCTGTCGCAGCAACACAGAAAAAGCTGCAGAGGTTGCACCAGTGGTTCACATCTGTCCTAGTCCAGATATGACATGCAACCTGTAGAGAAAACTGACAGGCAATGACAGAAGACCTGTCGTGTTGCTCAGAGCAGACCTCTACCAAGAACCAGAGGTAACAGCTTTTTATGTTCAGTCCTTCATAGTAAAGCTATTTCCCATTTTATTTTTCGATTGCATGCTGCTGCATGAAGGCCTGAGCCATAGGTTGGATGGTAGTGACATATGGTAGGCAGGACGAGGGAGGGTGACTTTGGAGGAAAACTATACATTCTGTTTTGGGGAAAGGGAGTTTTAAAAAGCTGTTGAGGTTTGGAGACTGCTTGGGATTTAAGACTGGACAGAGAAAGGCAGGAGTGAGACAAAGGTGAAATCTCAACAGGTGACAAAGGAAGTGCAGCATTACCATTGGCAAGTGGCAAAGCAGCCTAATTTAAAAAGCTTTTATTTAAAACCGTGTAAAAAGACAAAACATACTGGGTTTGTGCTTCTAAATCCCTAACTGCAGGATGAGCTGGAGAAAAAGCAGATGTTTACCCTTCCAGTACATTAAACAGAAAACTGAACTACAGGGGTGTTCACCATGTACTTGTCAGTCCCTTCACTTGCAATCTGTTTGTGAGCAATACAAACTCATTCCCCTTCCCCCAATCACACAAACATGTCACTTTCACATCCATTTGCTTTGCTTTGAAGAGAGAAATGGCAAATGTAACATAGTAGGCTAGATAGCTAAAAGTAATCCCAGTATACAGCAGTGGACAGAGCAGAAACGCATGCAACTTACTTGTTCATAGTTAAAAGTGTCCAGCATTCCCAGAACAAGTCCTTGAATTTCTCCAAGTTTCCCTTTTCCATAAACTGGATCCTGTATGAAGAAATGAAAAGCAGCAGCTGAATCACAGGATATGACCATTTTGGCTTTTTTTTTACCCCTCCAGGTTGGCTTTGCAAACACGCACATGGGCAAAGCACTGGAATAGGTGAGAGAGACTTCTGCAACATCCTCCTCACCTGCCAGGCCCCACTGCACAACAAGAAAACAGCCTTCTGCTCAAGGGTGTATTGGACCATGCCAGAAAATACCTCTGCCCAACAACCAGCACTAGCAGCCACCAGCACTATGGTCTCCTGAGCAGAACTGACCCTGAAGATCTCTCCATACAGTCACAGAGGTGCCAGCCCCTGCCAACGTGCAACGTGGTACCATTTCCAACATGCACATGCCAGGAACAGTTTCCTCGTATTTGTCTTTACAGCAACAGCAAGATTAGACTAGAAACCAGCACAGCTATATTTCACTGAGGAAGATGCCCCGCAAGCTGTTGGCTAAGTGGCTGGGATCCAGCCAGTCTTGTGTTCTTGAAGCAAGGAAAAGGAGTCAAGTAGTAGCTGGATCTACCACTGACTATTGCAGCGGCATTGATCCATGTTGTATAGCCCAACTTCACTCTATCCCAGTGGCCTCAACAGTCTGATGTGCAGAAGAACAAAGCTCAGTCCTCCCAACCCCCAAACTGGCACCAGCGAGGCGCACACATGCCTATAATCAGAACAAGCCTATTCAGGAACACCTCAAAAGAGGATCAGGGGAATTCATCTTTGTGTAACACACAAATCCCTGAGGCTGACAGACAATCATTGAATTAGTCTGGAAAAGAAAGTACTTCGCCCTGCTGGGAGCCAGTAGAAGGATACTGGGGGAAGCCTCGCAAGAAGCTTACTGATGGAATGGGCAAGACATTGGCAAAAATAGACTGGCAAGATATGAAACTAACTAGAGAGAGAGTAGAAAAGTGATGGAGACACAACAGGAACAGAAACAGAAGGAGTTGGATGAACAAGCTCTGGATGAGATGAATGAGAAAAGGAGTAGGAGCAAGGCTATTCCATGCTGGGACTGAGAGCAAGGGAGAGAAAGGAGAACCAAGAGTGAAAAAGCAAGTTGACAAAGACTGCTAAAGTAGCATGGAAGTTACACTGCAAGATACCCAGAGAGATCACCAAAACAGCAACAGAAAGTAAGTCAGGCAATTTTTGAACAACAGTCTTCGGAGGAAATGTGACAGGCAGAAACGCCAACGTTCAAGCCTAAATAAAAACAGCACTGAGTAATACCATTTGAGTCAAAATCAGCTGTAGCTTTGGAATGTACAAAAGAGCTTGACATACTGCAGAGGCTACTGTTTAACTAGGTGAGCAGTAGAGACTCAAACACCACCAAGTTTTCTTTCTGCATGCATAATTTAAAAGCAACAGCATAGAAAGCACACTACACTGAGTCACTATATGAATTATGGAGAGCAACAGGGAACTCAGGACATCCAGCACCACACATACATGTGCCATAACATAGAGCGAGTTATTTTTATATCCACCAGATACTTTTCTAAAGCTCTCAAGTACATTATATGGCCAAGGAAACTCAAGCAGGTAACTCACAAAATGTACAGATGCAACCATTTACATATAGATACTCTAACTTCTCAAGCCACAAGTGGGTATGTTCAAAGCAACTTGTTTCTTGCCTGGATAGAGGAAGAAGAGAAGAAATGAAGAAGAGAGAAGAACAGAAGAGACACCTACCACTTTGCAGAGGAGGAACCTTGAGTCCAAGGAACAACTTCCAGTTCCTCATTTTTCTCAAGTCACACTAGATGATCTCTTAAAAAATGGCAGGTAGGAAGAGAACAGACTTTCCTCTAAAGAGGAGGCAGGGGGCCTAGCAAAGTCGTACACCAGATGGAAGCAGTGAAGTTCATGCAGTTATAATGCTTTCTTCCAGTTTGCTGGGTTTGGCCCCCACAAAATTTACTGTCACAAGAACCTTGTGGGATCAATTACCTTCATGGAGGAATATGTTTCATTAATTTCACCTTTTAAGATTTGTCTCAGTTTGGAATTTATGCATGGTCCAAATACACTGTACGAGATGGCACATTAGTAACAGTCAGTTGCACCAAGCCAGGAACAGATCACAGCTACTGCTTCCAAGCTGGTATTTCCCTGGGAAAATGGCAATGCTCAGCATGCTAAACCAAAGCCAAACTCACGGCCCAGGAAAAGCCTACTGCCTACTGATCAGGAAAAGCTGGCAGGTATCCAGATGCAACCCAGAGGTGCTCATGCAGCCTTTCAGCCAGTTCTGTCTCCTCTATTTTTTTCCCAGGTCCAGGAAATAGCACTTCCTTTACTAAAAGCGCTTACAGAACTGTGCTAATAAATGCACTATAAACTCAGAAAACACATTCACTTGCAGCTTGTCCCATCTGCAAGGGGACAGAGCAACTATTGTATGTAAAACTAATCCCAGTGTTGACCTTCGGGACTGGCAAGAAGAAAAGAGACAGAGCTCTAAGAAGAGACGGAAAAAATACCAAGCAAAGGCTTTCTGGATCTTACTGCTTCCAGTCTGGAACAGTATATAGAGATTCCTTCCTTCCATACTCTGGGGTTCCTACAGGTAGATTTTAAGTTTCTGGGTTCTCCAGTTCTCCATTTTGTCGGAGGCATCAGCTGCATCTACTTACAAAGCATTTGTGAAGGATTACAGCTTTGTACGGGAATTAACACTCAACCTTTCAGCCCTCTTCAGACAGCATTCACATCCTTAATGACACGGAATTTTTCTTAATGCCCAAGAGGATTCCTCTAGTATCTCTACTAATAAGGTTATTTCAGACTTCTTATTTAGTAAATAACTTTACAACTTTATTATGGATGAGCAGCAACATAACTATATTGTTAATTCATATGACTTCAATTCTATCGAGTTAGATCAATATGCTGTAACAGGCAGATGCCAGGAGCCTGCCTATTTTCTGTGAAAGCTGTGGAGTCTGCTCATAGCCCTGTGCAAGGTGCCCTTCAGCAAAGCATTTTGGTTGCAAAGTTAACATTTGCATAAGGTATAATCTGTAAGGAATTAATCCCAGAAGAGGAAGAAAAACAGCCCACTAAAATTGGAATACTCTTAATTCCTTTTCAGAAAAGGCAAGATAATCTACCTCAGTTCATTGATGTCATCCACCTTAGAAAAAATCCCCCTGTTAATTCCTGGGCAGCTGTTCTACCTTCCAGGCCTGCAGCTCCAGTGCATCTATGCTCCACCACCAAGACTTGACCTCTGTTGGAACAGCTTTTGAGGGCGTTTTCAGACAAGCACCACTTGTAATTCTGGCTTTCACAGGAGTATTGTGAGGACAGGGGCAAGGCTGTATGTCTCCAGGGCCCAGAAGAGCTGGTTTAAGAATTTTGCTTAAGGTCACAGTTAAAGTGGCACATCAATAACATTTTGAACTAGGCCCTATATACTGCTCAGAGCAGTTTGGCACCAGGGTTCAGAATTGTACTCTTTTTCAGTGAACAACTACATAGCTCTGCAAAAGGAATACCCACACAAATAGAGATCTTTCTAGCTGAGGAAGCTGTGGAGGCAGAGCATTCTGAGGAAACACCACGTATGCATGCCATGTTGTGATTCTTCCCAGCAGGACACTTAAACAACATTCCCAGATAATCCAAAGCAACAGATGACAGGTCACACTACACACAGAGGCAAAAATCCAGTGCTCCAAGCTGTCTAACACGGGGCAAAGTTTCCTTCCTGATCTCAAGCATGGCAAAGGTTTGGAACCTCTGAACATTTCAGTTAGGCACTCAAAGACATGGCCTCACAGTAAGACAGAATCATCACCACTCCCCACATCATCTTCCCAGCTGAATTTAAAGCAACATTCTTCCAAAGGCCAAGCTGCACCAAAATAAAACCCAAAGAAAACCACCTACGGGCATCCAGTGCAACTCCTGAAGCAATAGTTTAATACAACACAGCTAGAAACACACAACCAAAAGTGACCTAGAGCAGTGGATTCCCAGAAATACAGAAATAAAGGTTGGTGTGAACAGAAATCACACCTGCACCAGGGGAGGTTTAGATTGGATATTAGGGAAAATTTCTTCACCAAAAGGGTGATCAGGCATTGAAACAGGCTGCCCAGGGAAGTGGTGGGATCACCGTCCCTGGAAGTGTTCACAAACCGTGTGGATGAAGCCCTTAGTGACATGGTTCAGTGGTGGCCTTGGCAGTGCTGGGGTAATGGTTGGACTTGATGATCTTAAAGGTCTTTTCTAACCTAGTTGATTCTATAATACGTGTGGTTTTAAACACAAGAACAAAAGGTTAAATGAATGGTGTGTCTTCGTAACAAAGGACACTGTTCCCAGCTACAAAGCTGAGGAGAGGATGGTGTCAAGCACTGAAGGCATCAGACTGATAAGAGCCCAGCACAGACAAGATAGCAGTGGAAGACCCCATGTCCTAACACAAAGAGGATGACAAGTTTGTAGAATATCATGCATCATTTTTCTGTTAGCCCAACAGGAAAACAGATTACAGCCGTGTATTTCAAACCTAGGTTCCAAACAAGGTACAATAAAATGTGCAGTTATCTGGCCTATGATTTATGGAAGCCTAAGCGAAATTAAGAGGCAAAAATCCACCTTATAACAGCCAGTAATACCTCCCAGCTGTGTTATCTTCACAGTGGTCTCTGATTTGCCCCTCACCCCATTCTGGTAATCCTCAACATAACCCAGGAAAGCCTTGCTGTCAACCTTCCTACTTACTCATTCACAGCTTCTGTATAATTTTCTGCCTACATTAAACATCAAACAAAGCCCAATAGGAAACTGCATCTAACACCCCAGTCAAAACTAGATGAAATAAGTTATTGAAGAGTCATTAAGTTTGCTCAACACTTTCTACCTTTGATAAAACCACATTTCATTTGATCATGCTTTCTATCCATTCCGTTAGAACATGTTTCACTGTCTCTAATTATGATTTTTTCCAAAAACCAAAGTTGTGCATAACATTAAGATCAAACTAATAGGTTGTTAGAGGCGTGTGTTCACCTTGTGAAGCCTGTAAGCCCTTTTCTACATTTTTTTCCTCTCATCTGGAGTAGAAACCCTGAAAAGTCATTCAACACTTTTTCAACCCTTCAATCATCCCACTCTGCAATGCAGATAACTTTACTAATTTGTTTCCTGCATTTCTCAAGGTTTGCTATTAAACCCCATCTCATCTTTTGTCTATTTTGCAAATTAACAAATTATATCTGCTTGTGATCACTCAACCCAAGATCCCATTTTGAAATCAGCTCTTCCATAAAATGTTTGCTGCTCACTAACAAACATCTCTAAAATAATACATTGAGCTATCAATCAAAATGGCCTGGTCGTGATTTCTTTCTCCAAAGCTTACAAACTTTGCTTCAGTGTTTTCAAAACCCTCCGTCCCAGAGCTTTAGCTAAATAAATGGCAACAAATTTAGTTCCAAGTTCTGAGAAATTCATAGTGGCTTTGCCCCTATAACTGCCAAGTTTCAGTTCAAAGTAATTGCAGTATTTGAGATACTATTTTATTTGGTTTGCAGATTACCACAATTAACTTCTCACAGGTCTGTGTGTTCCCCCCATGTCTCTTCAGAGCATCAGTCTCCCAGGTCTTTCTATCAGCTTTTCCAACTTTATCTCACTCCCTGAACTTTCGCTGAAATACTCTGAACTAGACAAGTAGCTAATCTGATCTTTAGTGACATGGATATTGCTCTTCCCAAGAACTGAGTGACACATCTTGGTAAAAGCTGCTTCTCTTCAGAAACTCACCTGTAGAATTCTCTGCAGAATTGAAGGAAGAGCGATAAATGCAGCCATGTTGTTCAGCACTTGCATTGTCAAACTCTTCAAAGCTGAAATACCACACATAAAAGCCACCAGCAGTTCATTAGGATTCAAGGAGTAAAGTGAGATCTATCTTACAGATTAAGAGAGTTTTATTTCAGTTCATGTTTTCTCGTTTGAAAACAACTTTCATCTTTTTATTTCTACATGTTTCACACTAAGCACACGCAGCTTTTTGTATCAGAAAGTATAATTAAAAGGTTTCAATATCACAAAATGCCTCTCCATTCCCCTCCCAACCCCACCTACAGTAAACATTTTGAGATTGGCTTTGTAGCACTGCCACCCACTTTTCCTACTGCTACCAACACCCAATTGGATGCCTTGGCCATGTTACAGCCCTGCAGACTTTAAAACTTCCTAGCACTGATGTTTGCATGAAACTTGTTTCTAGATCCCCAGTTCCCCAAAGTAAGAGCCAATACTCATATACGTGTGGACCCAGCAATTCAACTTCTTTGTGGGTATAATTAGCTGGTTAGAGCAGCTTGGGAAGTATACACATTAGGAATGAAAACAGTTATGCAGGATCCAAGTGTATTATCCCCTCATAATTTCTCAGTCACTTCAGATGATTACTCTTCTGCAGGCATTAGCTTCCAAAAATGGACAATCTAAGGGACATTCTGAATTTAGAGGAAAAGATGAGTTGAGGGAAGAGAAGCGATTTTTGGGGGGGGTTACTGATCTCTGCAAGGCTATCCCCAGGAGTCCAGATATAGCTAACCATCACTTCAAGGTAATAATAATGCAAGGAGGACAGACAGCATAACCAACCACACTTCCTTGTAATCGGCTGTGATCCTTAACCACACACAGCTACAATCACTGGGGAGCATAATGCTGGAATGGACCAAAAGACATTATTCTGTGTCAAGACCACAGTATCTAAGCTCATTTTTAACTAGTGTTAAGCCTTCCACAAAAGGAGGCTTTTCAAGGTGTGCTGCTGACACCCACAACAGATTCAGGGCACTACAACTGGAGCAGAGAATTTAGCTACTGTATTCAAGTTCTAATGGTTTTACATACAATAGACAAGTGCAGGGATAGGCATTCGAAAAGGCTGGGCATGGAAGATGACAGTTTATTAAGTCGGAAGCTCCTACACTACAGCCTGCAACCTACTTAAAACCTAGAAAGCCTTTGTACACGCTGTGCACCTTGGCTTTTTCGAAGAGACCATCTTCAATGGAACCAAGCTACTAGAAGAGGTTATGGTAGGGTCCCTTTTCCACTCAACAAAAAAAACCCCAAACCAACCAAACAAGAAGTACCTGACTGACAGCTGCAGCCTACCAAACACCCAGCCTGAGCTCAGCCCTACAGCCACTGCAGTTCAGATCTACTGCAAGAGCAAAAAGTTAAGGAACTAACAAATCTGCTTTTCTTCTGTTCATTCAGTAGAGGATGAGAGACAGGACACAGATTTTCGTTAATATTTGGGGTCACAAAAGCCAAAGTACTTACATTCAGAGTAACGACACTGTGAAGAACCAGATAATTTCTGTGGGGACATCATAGCCTCCAGCAGGGGAAACCAAAGGGCCTGAAATAATTGAATGCAAGGAAAAAAACATTAAGAACATAGCAATACTAAAAATGAACTGTGAGCAATGTCCAATCCATTTGCAAAGACTCACTTCCATGTTCTGTAGAACAGAACTACATTTTCCATGATTGCATGGAAAAGAACTGAAGCACGTTAACATAACCTCAGAGCAAAGGACTTCGGGACCTGCTTTCAGTCTAGACTGCTCGTATCTTAGACCAAGATAGTATTTGATTGGGGTCTAAGCACAGAAGACCTGTGACTCCTGTTGCTCCTTCTTCTCCATTCTCACCTGTTTCTTACTGGAATTGTGACAACAATCTACTTTTACTTCATTCAGTCTCCAACTACTTCTCCATGTGAGATGCAAACTCTCTGGTGCAGCGACTGCTTAGAGAACAGGAAGCACAGTAAATGGATCCCAGCTGGAAGGGGGAATCTAAATTTTGCAGGCAGTATATAGAAGCTGTGAAAATTCACATAATATTGTACTGGGGAAGCTGGTCTTTCATTTGGTGACCAGAGTCAAATCTTGCTTGGGCATCAACGAAGCAATTCCAGCAGGTGGAACAGGATCCAGAGTGAGAGCAAATTCTAACTCAAATCTATCCCAAGTAGGCAGGTGGCCATAAGGACTTTGGGTGTGCACACAGACACCTCTACAGTAAAAACACAGCAGCTGTTTCACAATAAAATCATTTAAGAGAAGAAACTGAGCAGGTCTCCTCATATCCTGGATAGAATCCTTGATTGCCAGACATGCCACCTCTTCAGACCTGGTAACAACGTTCTCAGTTCTGAGTTCAGCTACCTAAATTATGCATAATCTTAGAAGTCACTGCCTTCTATGTCACTAACGTTGGCAAAATGGAAACACAACCTCAGTACAAGGAGACAGGCAGACCCAGTTCTCTCTGCAGGAGCTCAAGCAAGCTCTATTGTCTCCACCCCTCAAAGACCAGGCTGACATTACATTCAGGATTTGTGAACGACAGTCACAGTGACAGCAGCATCAGCTTTGTGCCACCATAAGTTGGCTTGAAGCTTATTATGCCTTCCTTAGTATCTGATTGACATTCAAGCCAAAATTTCAACTAGAGCTAAAAATGAGGGTAAGGATGTTGTCTCATCTGTGTGTCATCAGTATTCACTGCTGACATGCACTTTATTTTGTGCTTCACCCTTACAAATGAAGATTTCTCTATTGTGGGTCTAAAACCTGCACCACTGCAAGAACACCACAAGGCAGAGGAAAACAATGACTGCTTGAGACATTTCAGTATCTCACAGAAAGGGAAAGAAATAAGTATGTGAAGAAAAAGTTTCAGGACATGCAGAGGCCTTTACTGATTTTAGTGATGCTTTTTTTTATTACCTTACCTCTCGCTGTTGCTGGTCTAAATTGTGGGAATTTCTCTGGCAAAGGGCAATTGTTTTCATTAAGGTGTCTTCAATGTTTTCTAGCAAGGTGAGTTCATCTGAGCCTAAGTTTTGGGGGAAAAAAAGAAATTGCAATTATAAACACTGTTGAACGTGTTAATTCCCAATCCCTCTGCAAAATGAAATCGTGCTGTTTATCTAAAGTCTGTTCACTACAGTGAGCAACAAAATTATAAAGACATCCTGATTTTTAGCACTTTCCTGAATAGCACAATAAATCGGGCATATAAAACATTTCACGTAATCAAACAAGGAAGATCTTAGCTATGGTTTAGGATACAATTAAGTAACAAATATGGGCACTGCATTTAATTAAGTGTCCATGGGCTAGCCCACCTGTGCATATGTTTACTTTCTGTCAGCACAACATTCTTACTTCTCTGAGAAGTTTGCTTCAAAAAAGGCTACTTCCAGGTGTCTCTCATCACTGTTTATATATAATGCCTGCATAGCTCCGTAATGAGTTTGAATGGATTCTAGCATACGAAACATGTCTGGTAAGCCAGTAAGTATACCAGTCACAATCAAAAAAAGCTAAGAGGGCAGCTGACTGCACACACACAAAAAACCCCATCCATCACAGCTTGTTCTAGATCGCTAGCATAGAGCAAGAGTAAGGAAGTGGCATCAGAATAACTACCACAGCATGTGAATATAAATTTAAGAGAATGTCACTGCAATAAGTAGAGACCTGAAGCAGGATCTCGTTATGCCAGGTGTCAGGCATATGCCCTTTACATTTTTGTATTTATCTCTTTCTAATAGAAAATGGAATTTAACTTCGTAACTCTTACTTTCATCATCTTGTGTAAGCATCAGCAACTTGCTCTGCAATCGCTGAAACAAAAGAGAGAACTCGGAACAGTAAACTTGCAGAATCCTGACAGAAGTGTTTTTACAAGGTATGGTTACAAAGGCTCACCCTCATTTTCTTCCCCAGTATGACTAAATGTGGCATAAATGTCTTTCCAAATATGGAAAGGAAAACAGGAGCTGAAATATGGGTTTTTTTGATTAACAAATTTTAGCATCTATTATCTCCTACATGTTTGAAGATATGCCAGAAAACGATACTGTTCTGCTGAGTCGGCAGACAATTCAACATATTGTTGTTTGACAAAAGGCAAATGCTTCCATGGATTCTAGTGGGAAACATATTAAGAAGCAATGACAACATCAAACCATCATGCTGATGGCATGTCATGCCATGCTGGTATGTCAAGAATGTCACATTCAGGATTTCAGTACCTCGAGCATAACCAAAAAGGCACCATGGATATCTCCCTTCTTCTCCAGTAAATATGAAGAAGCTTCATGGAGCTGATGTTTCTGGGTTATCTGAGTTAAAAAGAAAAAGAAAAAAGAAAAACGAAAAGGTAAATGTTTATCTTGGGAAACCTGCCAGTGTTTGTTTACTACACAAGACAGTGACAACCAGATGGTCAGAAAGGATTGTCTTCCCATGTGTTCACAGGCACCTTACCCAGCCAGAGCAGCATGCCTACTTCCCACCATTAGTGGCTCTGCTGCATTTATTTCTCAACTTGCACTATTGCTACCACCAGCATTAAAGTCTTTAAATTAAAATCTATAAATCAAGATCAAGGACAGATTATTGTTCAGATTTTCATAAAGGGAGGAAATTGTTGCTCTCCCAACACTAGTCAGATTTTGGCAGTGTTACTTTCCAAAAACCCCAGGCCCATGTCTTCATACCTTCAACATATCAACCAACATTAACATAGCCAGTTCATATTCTGCTGTTACTTAGTAGCTTCAGAGAACTGACGGCCTTTTTCTTATTAGCCCTAAGACTAAACTCAGAATCAGTATATTAGTTATAGCTAACCATGCTGCAGGAGAGCAGTTTAGCACCTCGAGCAGACAAACAGCATTAGAAATGGATTGGAAGTGTATCCAGGAGCTAATCCACAATCTAGGCTAAAGTACTTTTACAGTTCTATGATTCTACTGTAAAAGAGATGATTTGAATGCCCCCCTAGCCCCTGTCCTTATACTTGTCTCTCCTACCTGGATGGTTTCTTCCAGTCTGCAGTATTCCAGAACTTTAAGTGTCTCCAAAACCTGGCCTGGGCTGTACTGACACAACAGCTCAATGAACTGCTCACTGATGCTGGGTGGTAAGTGTATCAGGTCTTGGTTAATACCTTCTCTGTAATAAAAAAGGCACAGGAGACTCAAGTCAAATTCTAGCTCAGAAATTTGGCTGGAAAGAATAATTTCATATTCAATCGTGTGTTGCCTTTTCTCTCTAATACAGATGCAAAAAATCTGGTTTTAAGAGAAAAACTATGCTTTACTACTAGTTACTGGTGCTGGAGGTCTGTTAGTAGGTATTTCAGTTGTTCCACAGTATATTCTACTGATGCCTCAGTATAAATTAGACAATCAAAGACCCCTTTGAAGAAATATACCAGCACAGACACATCTTCAGCAATTCTATGGCAAAGGGGCACAAAAAGCTCACCTAAATTCTTCTGGCACATAGTACTCATGACTTGATGAGCAAATTGACCTTTTCCTTAAACATTTCACTCAAGAAATGCAGAGAAGAGAGAATGAAAAGAGAGCTGGACATTGATGATGTTAAAAACTAAGCAACAGTCTGGAGACTTGCAGGTCCTGTGATGTGATTATGTTCATCTTCAATACAACCATGCCAAACATCTCCCTGCCAGACTCTACATGCTCTTTCCTAAAAGGAAGAGATAACCACTGGTTTCTCACAAAACCTTAGCACAAGTGACCCTTGCAAGTGTCACAGAGAGTTGGTCAGTGAGAAAAGCCATTGTAACAGAACTTAAAAGTTTAGCTATCTGTTAATATACTTATAGACCCAGAACACTGTGTTGCTAAGGAAGCTAATATTGTTGGTAAAATACACAAACACATACTGCAAACAGATATGCTTCACTGCGTTGGCTTTTTAGAGGGAAAAAAAAAAAATAAGAGTTTAAAATGGAAATGTAGCAAAAGCTGTGAATAATGAGCTGAGCAATACCACATTCTCCATTTTCTGTGTCTGCTTATAAGATACAAACATACGGACATTTGGTTTTAATTTCCCCAGGCAATTCCTGTTAACCCTGTTTCCTCCCTTCCCCCTCCTTTAAAATAAATCTCTGGCTAAATTAAATGGGCCAAATTAATCCCTAATGCAATCCCACCAACCAGGATAGTTATCCTAGGATGATGAGTCTTGTCCACATATGATCAAGCAATCATTCATTTGTGGTGGAGACATTAAAAGCTCATTTACTGCTCTAAGAATTTTGCTCAAAAAAAGCATATAAGCATTTTGACTGACTGAAAAGAAAGAGATGTTTTTAGGAGAATCTCATCACTATATTATGTATAGATATATTACAGACTGCAGGTATATCTGCGGATTAGGTCTTGCATAGCAACATTTCTTCCTCCTTCCCTATCACTCCCAGGATACAGTTCAGCTCATTTCAATAGGTCTTAGAAGCAGACAGCCTCACAGCACTGAAAACAGACCACAGGAACTCATGTTATAAAAAAACCAGCCAAACAAAAAAAACCCATGAACAAACAAAAAAAGCACCTCCAGCAACGTAGGATCTCTACAATAAACACTTGTTATTAGCAACAGAGTTTAATAATAATAAGCTAAACCATGGGCTTCCAGACCTGCCGATTTATAGTCAGTCACTGCCATATGTGAATCCAAAGTATTTAGCAGTATTTTGTTCTTTTTTCTGTACAACTGTCCAACTTATCCGTTACTTATTGAGTTTTCTGGCATCTACAATCCAGTCGGTGCGTGGTTTACCTCCATTACTTGGGGTGCTGAACATAGAATCACAGAACGGTTTGGGCTGGAAGGGACCTTTTAAAGGCTCATCTAGTTCAAACCCCTCTGCCACGGGCAGGGACACCTTCCACTAGACCAGGTTGCTCAAAGCCCCATCCAGCCTGGTCTTGCCACATCTTACTGCAGTGCAGAGAATTAGTTGACTTTGGAACTCAGAGGGAAAAGGAATTTTCCTGAGACACACATGGCCCAACAAGACAAGCCACGTGGCCTCATGCACCTTACTGAACATCAGCCTTGAGGGGAAAAGCAGAGATCTTTTGGAAGATCAGATACAGAAAATTGCTTCCTATTGCTGGTATGAAAGTGCATGTGTTACTTTTGATTAGAAAATAACTACAGGAGAAATGGCTGTATTTAGCTCTAATTGTGCTAGAGTTAAATTACATCCATTTATTGCTCAGAGATTATGGAAGCTACTCCATGCATAAGATTAAAATCCAGGTTAATTACTACCTTCATTGGGTCTCACTTGCTGCAAGTGGTATCACAGAATAAACAAAGTCCTACTTTACATCCAGTTAAGGGATCATTTCTGCTTAGCTATTCAAATTTTTTGAAAGATTATTCAGTTACTAAATCATCTCATTTCTCTTCTGTAAAACCCAAGATATTTACTTGGCAAAATTCTGATTTTATTTTGCCTTGTAAGAAAACAGGTATGGAAATTAACACCTTTCCATGCAAACATGGGTGTGAAACTCCAGAAATAACAAAATAATCTGTCCTTTTTCTTTTTTAGTTTGCATCCTAACAAAATCCCAAAAGTGATTAATTCCAGGTTCTAGCTTCCAAAGCACACTCTTTATTTCAGTTCAACAAGGACTGAAACATTGACACTTGAATTTAGATACTATTACTTTTTCCTACTACTAATCTTCCTCATAAAGCACAATTAATTTGTAGCTAGCTGACAAAACAAGACCTCTCCTTCAGCTGCATTAACAATTGCTTGAAAGCAATTAGAGCTGTGCAGATATAAATGTCTTACAAAATACACAAATAAAATCAAGGTCTTGTAGCATTTGAAACTGATTCAACAGAAAGAGAACACTCAGTGCTGAAATAGGGAAAAGAACAGGAGCAGATGGAGCAAGCATGTAGTTAAAGAGAAGTTTGCAGAGAAATATGGCAGCAATTCTGAAATAAGATAGAAATGAAAAATGCCAACAGACCAAAATGCTTTTCTATTTATGTTAAACTTTGGTCCCTTGGTCAAGAAATCAAATAGGTGGGTTGAGAACAGAAACTGCCATTTCTGAGAAAAGAAATGGCAGCTTCAGTCACAGGGTAACCATTTCACAGCCCTCTCAAAGAAGCTGTTACAGTAATGCCCAAACTCCCACCAGTGTGGGGGACGTGTCACATTGCATGTACTGGAACCCACACCACTTCCCAGTTAGGAAGCCAGCAAGGGCTCTGCTAAAGGTTACGTGGCAGAATGCTCTTATTTCTGAGATATCCTTCTTGACTTGGGGCAGTTTAAGAACAGGTCACCTTTTCTAAGACCTTATCTTGGCTGTAGGCTGTCTACTCATACACAGTTTCAAAGGAATTTATTTTAACCCATGTTTTCAAGCTGTAGTTTGTAAGTGGTCTAATTTTCTTACATACCTTGGATCAAGGAGACTCCTCAGAAACTGGAAGAGTAAGAACTGGTCCTGTAAAACAGAAGGAGACTGAGTATTACTATTTTCATGTGCTATAAACCAGTGATTCCTGAACTGTACCCATTGAAGAAAATACTGTTCACAGCTGGTGCCCGTTGAACAAGTTGCTTTAGGCATATGTCTCGTGTAAATACTCAGAGGATATGTTTGCTGACAACAGCTCTCTTGGAACTGTGAGTGCAAGCCATTACTGAACTCCACACTAAAAACTGCATCAGCAAATGATGCAACCAGAAACCCAGAGGTCATACATTTTTTATGGCCAGAACTCTACAAACAGGCCAAAAAATTTAAGTTTATCAATTCCTGCAGCTGGGTAGTTATCAAGCTATTTTTCTTCTGTTTATGACATAGCAACAACTTACTATTACTCTTTGCAATCATTTCTCACAAGAATGGCAACCCCACTGTCAAGAAGCACCAGTATCAGTGAAGTTGGATGCTTTACCTGAAGGTTTGTAATGATGGTCTCAATCTGCTCACTGAAGTGAATGGCTACCAAATCAGCTGCTTTACATGGGCTCAGCAACAGTAATTCCTTCAGAAACACAACAGAAATAATTACTTTTAATTTCATAGGCAGTATAATTATGCAGTAATGTGGAGTCCATTCATACTGTAACTGCATCTTTGCCTAGATGAAGGCTATAAAATAATAAATACCATCACAGAAAAAGTGATTTTGAAAAACAAAACAAAACAAAACCTAGAAGGAAGGGTAGTTTTTAAAAAGGTATTTTTGAAAATCATGATTTTACTACATGACAGGCCTTGTAAGAATGCAAAACTCTTCACACCAATGAGACCACATCTTAGTCCTCAGGCAAGAAAAGCATTCATCAGATTATCTGGCAACTGCCTTTCACCCCTGCCAATAAGACATTCCTAGTGTCAACTACGAGCCAGCAGCAGAAAGGAAACAAAGCCCTCAGTTGATCCTAGGGCATTTTTCAGTCAAATGGAAACAGTGTTTAACTGACTTGAACTGAACAGAACCAGAAGTTTATAAGCAGGCTTCCTGTAACTGCTAACTGTAATTGAGACCTGTCCAGATGTGGAAAAAAAAAAACTAAACATTTTCTTCATTGTTATAAAAGGAAAACAAAATAATCTTTTAGATGCCTGTGGGTTTGCCTCCTGTCAAGCTTCATCTAAGAGGCTTCATAACATACATCTTTACAAAACCCAGAACATGAATTTTTGCTTGTAATGCTTCCAAATCCATCCATATTTCCAAATACATGAGAAGCAACTGTTTCAAACCAATATTGGCTACCTAGTAACTATTTCCAAAAGCCCCAGCTTATGTCTACAAAGGGGAAAATACAGCTTTACTAAACAAAACCAACTGTTATAGTGGTAAAGAAAGCAGTATACATCTGGAAGAAAAAAGAAAATCTGAAAAAGTTACTTAGCACTAGCTTGGTCTCCAGACAGCTGTAGCAGCCACCAAATTCAGAAAATGTCAGCAACAGACCAGGTTTGAAGGGAAGAAAGCAAGTAACAAGGAAGAGTGTGACTACTCCACAAGCTCTTTAAGGAAGACCTATCATAGAAAATGCATTTTGTGAGGTTTCCAAACCAAAATGTGTCTACTGTACTGTATGTAAAGCAGCTCTGTGGTGTTTGACCCCACAGCTTTACTGCTTGAGCCACAGCTCTTAGTTCCCCAGCGCTCAGGAGCACAACCATTTCATCTCATAAGCCAGGGCAATCCGAAGGACCCAGCAGATCTTAACCACATCAGTGCAGAGGAATGCAGAAAGGATGTAGTGTGACTGCCTTAATTTGCTTCTTACGCTGAACAAACCCATCCTGGGAGGCTGGACTGCTGAAGATAGGACTGACTGGCTGGAGGGAGATAACCCAGCCTCCCTGTAAGTGACTGCAGCTCTTGAATCAGCGTGACTTTCACAGCCTTCCCTGGGGCTTGGGTTTTCACCCTCTCCCAGGCTTGGACAATTTGCAAACATGGTGGTACTTAGGCAGTGTCCTGGGTTCAGCTACAGCAGTC